CTAACTTGTAACCTAAGAAAGAACAAAATACTGAGGGGGGAAAAGGAAAAGAGGATGGTTACCCGCCACCATTCCAGGTCCTGAGGGTGGGAGCAGGAATTGGGATGAAATAGAAATTAATGCTGTCCATATTTGCCTTTGTGTCTAGAAGTGAGTAGCTGTGCCCCCCCACTGCCATGCACAGCCAAACTACAGGCACACATGCTTTGCACAAATTTACACTAGACATACATAAACATGATGTACTGTTCATGCAGTAGATTACACACAAACAGACCTTGCACACAGACACATAGCTTGTAAACACATTTGGGCTAGCTAGGCACACTCAAATTACATACAATTATGCCACAAAACACAAATACACCATTCACACATTAATATGGCAGGCAAATTTATACTGCACACAGAGTTATCACACAGACACATCAATACATTGTACACTTCCTTATATTACACAGGCAAGTATATTCTCCAGGGGCACACATTCTTATCTATACACTTCCCACAGGATAGTGTTCATGGAAGAATACACTTAGGCAAGACTCATACTATGCATATATCTTATAACTCACATATATCTTATAACTCCCTCTACCTATAAAGTAAGATAAAACATATGAAAGAAAAACAAGTAGGGCAGTGAGTGATACCTAGACAGAGGAGAGATTGGTTGATTGACAGATGAGATGGACAGACAGGCACACACACACACACACACACACACACACAAGAAAGACATAGACCAAGAAATTATTGATAGAATTTCTTAACCTGGCATATGCAAACTTGTTTGTTCTGTTTCTTAATTTTGATGATTGTATTTCAATATAATTTATTTCCTTTGTAATCCTACGCATTTAAAAAACATTCTGAGAAGTGGTCCGCTCTGCTTCTCCAGACTGTCAAGTGGTCCATGACAGAAAAAAGACTAAGAATCTCTATCTTGGAGTGTAAGATAATCCCATGTGTCTCACTGCTATGTTGGGAGAAGGTTCTGGGATTTGGACTGGACCCAGACTTTCAGGGAAAAAAAAAAACCAGTCCTTTCAGTGGTGAGGAGAAAAGAGGCATTTTGACTTCTCCATTTGGTTGTCCACTGCCACCGAACATGAGGGAATCTGTGTTTCTCAGGCTTAGCCTATTCTGGCTCCAATAGAGTCCACTCTTCCAGGGCTAGGGCCAACTTCCACAGTCCCTTCCTAGCAGGCTAGCCAGAGAGAAAACTACCCAGACCATCCTCTCTTCTGCTTTCCGAGGCCCAGGTTTTCAAGAAACACTAGAGTTTTGTTTAAGATCTGAGTGTGAGATACAATGCCACATAGAAATATGGATCGTAGTATATTAGCTCACTTCTAAAGTCAAGATTTGAAATGCCAAGTAATAAAGGCTCATGCTGGTATTAGATGTATACCAAGATGTATATCTGGAGAATGTATATCATTATGTTTTAGTAAATGCTAGATGATATAGAATATGAGCATGGGCAGATACTACAAAATTCTTGTCTATGGAGATGAAGGAACTCTGTTAAAATACACACCCAAAATTTTATTTGTCGAAGGAGGAAGACAGTGGACACAATACATACAGACTTAATATGCCACATTTAACTTCCAAACACAGGGGATGTACTTTACTACCTAGGACACAGCATTGTGAGAAGGGATGTCACACTCCGACCTCTGTTTTCCCAGGACATTCTCCCCGGACGATAGTCTTAAACTTCCTAGGCCTTCGTCCCTTTGTTGTCCTGCCCCACCAGACCCTTTGCTATGGGGTAAGCAAGGCCGCTCATCTCACCGCCCAAATGACTATTGAAACCTGAGGGAATCGGAAGTCGAAATTAGTTTGGGAACCAATAAAAAATTCCAGGCACGACTCTCCTAATCCTCCTCGCTCTGAGAATTGTATTTCAAGTAAGAACAAGTTTTGACTGTCTCCAGAGTGGCTTCACCGCTGCTGACTCCACCTCATAAGAAGCCCAACTTAGTTTTGCGTGTAAGGAGCTATTCTGAAAGGCAGAGGAGACCTAATCAAGGTGCTAGGGGCCAGAGCAGGCCCTGTGCAAAAGAGTTAAGGGGTGGACCCTGGTTCTGGTGAAGGGTTGAAGGAAGGTTATTTTGTTTTATTTTTAACCTCCAAATATCAAAACGTCTTAAATGTTCTCTAAAGAACACTGAACCAAACAAATGGGACTGGGTAAGCCTTTGGGTTCCGAGTTTTAGAAAGAAATACACACTCACGTTCGGGCAGGTGGGATAAGCAGGCTGACCAGAGCCGGACAGCGCTGGGTGGGGTGTATCTCATTTTTCCAATTCCGAGTTCCACAAGCTACCTTCCAGTTTCCTGTTCCCTTCCCCCAGTGCCTGACCCTAACCCCACAGCCACCCACCCACTTAGCGCAGATCTGCTCTCTGGAATCGCTTTCCCGGCTTTGTCAGTATCTTTGTGCAGTTTTCCACTCAAGAACAAACACAATCAGACAGTTAAAAAAAATTGGAACGAAACAGGAAAGGTCTCCTTCCCCAATAATCACCTCCTCGAACACACACACACACACACACACACACACACA